TGTGATTTTCATTTTTCCCCAGTTATTGAAAATGGATTATTTACATAATATGTCCTGATTATGGTTTCTATATTCTCTATTCCTGCCAGTTACTTCCAACCTCCTCTTCCATAAGAATTTAAGCCCTTTCAATTCTCTTATTAAAGGACAAACAGACATTTACGGAACAAAAATAAAATAAACCTAACTCATCAGAATAGAAGGAAACAAACAAAAAGAAGGAAAAGTGCTGAAAAAGAAACACAAAACAGATACAGATGTAGAAACCCCTTTGCTTACATACTCAGGCCCGTAAAAATCTTACCTACAAGCCATAATACATACACAAAGGACCTGCAGGCTAAAGATATATATATATATATATATATATATATATATATATATATAATGAAAAAGTAATAAAAATAAAATTTTAAAAAAACAACCCTGACACTTCATTAGGAGACAAAGAACCTCCAAAAATGCCAATGAGTTTGCTTTCTGTTGGCTGTTTATTTAAATTAAAAACAATCTTATTTTATAAACCAATGTCAGTTCCCTGTGCCTCCCTTCTTCCCATACCCAGCACCAACCTCCCCTCCCCATTCCCTATCCACTCCCCAAGGAGGGTGTATCCTCCCATGGGGGATCATCAAGTTTGTCAGATCATGTGGGTCAGGGCCTAGGCCCTCCCCCATGTGTCTAGGTTGACAGAGTATTGCTCCACTGGGAATGGGTTCCCAAAGTCCATGCACTAGGGATAAATACTGGTTCCACTGACAGGGGTTCTGAAGACTACCCTGGTCTTCCAATTTACACCCACATTCAGCAAGCTTGGTTCTGTCAAATGCTGGTTCTCCAGCTGTCAGACTGGGGTGCTTGCACTCCCATTTACTCAGGTCAGCTGTTTCACTGGCTCCTTGTACCCTACATTTACTTCTGGGGAGATAGGAAAATATTAAGTCTTTACCACATAAATGGATGAGGCTGTATGAGACTGTTATGTGCTCATAATTTCCTTAAAGACCAGAAAACAAAGCTATAGCAGTTAATAAATACCTGAAATTATGATTTCCCAAAATCAGAGCTATGAATGTAACCTCAAGAGTATTCACATACTCAAAACACACTGAAAAGTATAGCATGTGACTGACAGGTTTAAAAAGACTATGATTTAGCAGTAAAATAAGTTCTGAAAATCACTGAAATTTTGCTAGTAAAGCAAAATGTGATTGTTTAGGAAAATATATACAATATTGTATTTTAACATGGATATTTAGTTCATATAGTATTGCAAAAATTAATAATATAGTCAATCATGGAAATACTCATACAGATGTTGCGATATTTTGATTGTTTTCTGACAAATAAAGCTTTCTTGTAGTCAGAGAGCAGAGCTAGCCACTAGCTGACCAAAATTAACCATAGAAGTTTGGAGGACTGTAGACAGAGGGGAGACAGGAAGTAATAAAGTGGAACTGAGAGAATCTTGGTACTTTTGGAAGAAGGTATGAAATAGGAAGGAGGTGACTGGTGACTGCTTCCTCGCTTCTCTGATCTTTCAGGTTCCTGTCCTGATATCTGACTCCCAATTTTTATTGACAAAGAATAAGCCTTCATACAAGTAACATTGTGTAGACTGGACAGGATATGTTTAGAACTCTGTGTGTGTGTGTGTGTGTGTGTGTGTGAGAGAGAGAGAGAGAGAGAGAGAGAGAGAGAGAGAGAGAGAGAGAGAGACAGACAGACAGACAGACAGACAGACAGACAAACAGACAAACAGACAAACAGACAGACACAGACACAGAAAGAGAATGCTTGCCATAACAATATAAAAGGGTCATGAATTTTAAAGGAGAGGAGGGATGGCTATTTGGGAAGGATTGTAAGGTAGAAATGTAGAAAGAAATGTGGTAACTATATTGTATCAAAAATTAAATGAATAAACTATTTTATTTAGTGTTCATTGCATTTCTGTGTGTGAATAAGGAGATAGTACCTTTCCTGATGATGTCAAGGTTGTGTACTTAGTAATTGCAAATATAGAAAAACCTGTTGTCATAAGATTTCCTTCCCTTTACACCACACTGACCCTGCACAAGTCCAAGTAGCTTTTTGTTTCAAGTGTTTAAGTATCTTGATGTCAGATAGTATTTATAGCAAGAGACCAGTTTTAGTCTGGTAATTAGGAATTTTTTTTCTCATCATTGTCTCATTATACCCAAAGGTGTTACACATTGAAGAGCTGTCAGAAATGTCACATTAAATGACGACTAGAAATCTCTCAAGGTTATAATCTGCATGAAGAGGACAGGATATCTGCATGTGATAATTCTGCCTAGAAATGAATTATAAACATTTAGAAAAGATTACATTTTGTCATCCAATAATTAGACATTCTTATTTTTTACAAGAAGAAAAAGCCAAAATAACTTACTGACTGAGGCTAAGGAAGTATGCTCAAGGTAGATGCCATCATTTACAAATTAAAATAGTTCCTATTTGGGGTGTTTTGTTTGTTTTAATTACTTCTTGATAGCAGAGAAGTTGTGTCTTATTTTTAGGTAGCTAAAGTAGCAGCTCTTTGGGTAGAATCAAATGCAAATTGAGATGATTAGCATCAAATAGACAGTGTTTTGCCCTGTGGAATTATGATAATAATTTTATTTAAATATTGTGTTTAAACACAATAGTAAACCTGGTAATTAAATATCATATTAATGCTTACTACCATATTTAGTAAAATAAGTTTAACTCATATTAAAGTTAACAATAATCAATTCTGTAATTAAAAGTAAGTCCATAGTGTGTGTGTGTGTGTGTGTGTGTGTGTGTAACAGTCATAAATTAATGTTCAATTTCTAATTGTGGATTATAGCAATAGAGAGTGTTTATCATTAAACAACTTGCATTAGAAGTTGAATAATTAAATACACTGTTAAAATGTCTTCTGATACAGAAATATTAAACTGCACAAATTTAGTGATGTCCTATGATATTTATTTAAAGAGAAGTCAATTATGTGAAAAGCCAATAAAGCGGGTCAACATACTGCTCAGGAGGTAGAAACCCAAACTCAAAGTGGGAGCATCCCCTCCCCCTAGCTCTATTTACACCATACATTCTACATAACCATGAACACACCCACATGGGAGTGGTGAGTGCTTATGGATAGGTAAAATCACTTCCTTCAGTCTTCTGTTAATTTTGTTTTATTTTTTACTTTAAATTGTAAACAAGCTTGTTTTACATGTCATTCCCAGTTCCTTCTTCCTTGCCTTCTCTCTTGCCCCCCACCAACCACCTCCATGTTCCCCAGGGAGGATGAGTCCTTCCATGGGGGATTTTCAAAATCTGTCATATCATTTGCAGCAGGGACTAGATCCTCACTTGTGTATCTAGGCTGAAAAATATACCTCTATGTGGAGTGGGCTCCCAAAGTCCATTCCTGTACTAGGGATAAATACTGTTCCACTATAAGAGGCCCCATAGATTAACCAGACCTCCAAATTAACATCCTATGGATGGCTTCCCAGCTATCAATCTGAGGTCCTAGAGTTCTCCCTTGTTCAGGTCAGCTATTTCTCTGGGTTTCTCCAGCCTGGTCTTGAACTCTTTGCTTAGCCATAAGGGAAATGCAAATTGAAACAACTCTACGATACTATCTTACTCCTGACAAAATAGTTAAAATTGGGAGGCAGAGGCAGGCGTAAATCTGAGTGTTCGAGGCCAGCCTGGTCTACAGAGCGAGTTCCAGGCCAGCCTCCAAAACAATACAGAGAAACCCTGTCTTGAAAAAACAAACAAACAAACAAAGAACAACAAAAACCCCAATGGCAGTTTATGCTGGAGAGGATGTGGAGAAAGGGGAACACTCCTTCACTGCTGGAGGGAGTGCAAACTCATACAGCCACTTTGGAAATTAGTATGGCAGTTCCTCAGGAAAATGGGAATCTGTGCATGACAGGATCCAGCAATTCCACTCTTAGGAATATACCCAAAAGATGAACATTCACACAATGAGGACATCTGTTCAACCATATTCATAACAGCATTATTTGTAATAGCCAGAACCTGGAAGCAACCTAGATGCCATACATTTACATAATGGAGTACTTCTGAATATAAAACAAAAAAAATGGAATCTTGAATTTGTAGGCAAATAGAAAGCACTAGAAGAAACCATCCTGAGTGAGGTAACACAGTCACAAAAAGAATAACATGGAATGTACTCACTCATATATGGATTCCAGACATGGACCAGCCTACAATCCACACCCCCAGAAAAGCTGGGAAACAAGGAGGTCCCTATGAAAGTCATACACAGTCCCCCAAAGAATGGGAATGGGACAAGATCTCCAGAGCTAATTGGGAGCATAGAGTCAAGGAGAGGGATGTAGGAGAAAGAGGATGTGAGAGGAGGACATGAGAGAGTAGGAAGATGAATCGGGGGAAGAAGAGAGGAGAGCAAGAAAAGAGATACCATATCACAGGAAGCCATTATAGGTGTAAAGAGAAATCTGGCACTTTCTGTAAATTTTAATCTTTCCCTAAGAGTGTGATAATCGAAATCTGTTTAAGTTAAGGTGTTAACATTATGATCAGTCTGTTCTAAAACTTTACTACTGATCAAAGCCTGAATAACAATTAGGAGGCAAAAAAACAGCATAGTTGATAAAAGGCCAATTAACAACTCAACTAATACCAAAATACATGTGGTGGCAGATTTTTGCCTGTTGGGGCCTAGGCCCCACAGGGTCTCTGAGTTGTTTGTCAGCTGATAGCCACAGGTACATTCTGTTTTCTAGTCCTGGCTTACTGCCCCTGCATTACCCCCACTGACATCAACATCTAGCACAAATAAAACAAGCTGTCCTCCACCTGGGGTTGTTTCACTGTGCTGTAAGCCTGTATATATAAGACTGCTCCCTCCTACAAGAAAGAGACCTCTTAGCACTTGCAATAAAGATACACACATACACACACACACACGCACACACACACACACACACACACACACACACAACACTCCTGGCAATAAAGGCAGCACATGCATTCTCTTAGTAAAAACAGCTGGAAGTCTTATCCTTCTTTTCCTGATACCTTTGAATTGCTTGTGGCACAGGGACCACAACTGGAGGTCCCACCGAGGTCCAGAGAGACTTGGAAAGACTGGGAAAGGTTGACCAGAAAGAAGACTCAGGAGAGGAGAGACTCAAGAAAGAAAAGAATTGAAAGCAGGTACCTCAAATTCTAACAGTAAAATTGAATGGTCAAATCTCCAGGCTTATGCGTGAGAGATCACTTTTTAAAGAGAAGGTATTTTGAATTAATCTCTAGCGTTTGCCTCATCCACTGAGGTCAGGAAAGTAAGGGGAAAACTGAGAGATCTCCCTCAGTTGAAGGGTGTATTGAATTAATCTCCAGCCTTTTGCCTGATCCACTGAGGTCAGGAAAGTAAAGGGGAACTGAGAGATAGCCCTCAAAGGCTGGCCAGCAAGTAAAGCTATGAGGGTGTATTGGAAAGGGGTACCAATTTAGGGGTACCTGGTTAAATCTCCAAGCCTTCACCCAACACCAAGGTCAGGAAAGAAAGGGGAACTTGAGAGATGGCCCTCAGTTGGAGGGTGGATTGAGTGAATCTTAAGGCTTTTGCCTGAGGGATCATCCTCGGTTGGAATCTAGATTGAAAATGGGTGAATTGAAAATTGGTAACAGTTAGTAAGTGAGGTACTGGTATTAAGTGAAAGAAAAGGGAAAGCTAAAAGTATATGGAATGAAAAATACATGGAGAGTCTGGATACTGTGTGCTGTTGTGTTGTCTTTAAACTGTTTAATTGCTAAGAAAGGAACAAAAACTGATAAAAGACATTTGATTATCAATGCTGCTAAATTAATCCAACTTATATATTTTGGAAATGCTTTTACTTCTAAATGTAAATATAAGGACAGTTTACTTGGGAAAACCTGTGGGTTCCTTCCAGACTAGTATGGTTTGATGAAGCAAGACTACCTGAAACAGCGGCCCAGGTGATCCAACATCTAAAACAGCTGAGAAGATGTATCCTTGCAGACCACAAAAACAAGGACTTCAATAGGTTTCTTTTTTTGTCATGATCACCCTGGTATTTCAGTACCCCTTAATGGCAGGAAGTAGTTAGGAAAGAATGACACCCACATTCCCAAATATTGTTTATAAATGTTTGTTTGCATTTATACAGAGTTAGTTATTGATACAAATTTAAGGTCAATTTTGTGAGTCATTTCTAAAAACTTTTTATAAGAAGTGGGTACATCTGTAGCCCCTGAATGTAGCTCAGAAATTCTCAAATGGAGGGATGATGAGAGCATACAGGAATTTTTCAAAGTTTTGTTTTAATTCAAGGATTGGCTGGCATAGTTTTGTCATAAGAGATTTCAATTAAGGAAGTTTCGTTTCAAGGAACTAATCATGACTTAGGGATAAAGGATGACTGAATGATGTATATATGTTCTGAATATATGGTGTGGCCACACACGTATGTATGAAATGTGATTGTGAATGCGTGAGTATGAACTGCTTAAATTGCCTTGGATATGATTTAAAGGATATTTAGGTTGCTTTGGGGATAGTTAAAAAGATACCTAAATTGCTTGGATATAGCCAAATGGAGCATCCAGCCAGTCAATGTCTTAACAGGAAAGGTTGAAGATTTGAGTCCTGAGAGCCAGTCAGTGGAAAAATAGCAAAAGCCTACAACATGGCCTGGGAGCCAAAGAAATCTATATGGAAGATTCTATAGAGTAGCAAACAGTTCAAACAAAATTTCAAAAAATAAAAAAGGGGGAGATGTTGGGGCCTAGCCCTCACAGGGTCTCTGAGTTGTTTGTCAGCTGATACCCACAGGTGCATCCTGTTTTCTAGTCCTGGCTTACTGCCTGGCATTGCCCCACTGACATCAACATCTAGCACAAGGAAAACACACTCTTTTTCACCTGGGTTTTTTCTACTGTGCTGTAAGCCTGTATACATAAGACGGCTCCCTCCTACAAGAGAGAGACCTCTTAGCACTTGCCATAAAGTCCTCTCTCTCTCTCTCTCTCTCTCTCTCTCTCTCTCTCTCTCTCTCTCTCTCAATAAAGGCAGCAATGCATTCTATTAGTAAAATCAGCTCGACATCTTGTCTTTCTTTTCCTGATACCTTGGACTTGCTTGTGGCTTGGGCACTGCATTTCCCTGGGATATTGATAGGAGTGAACGTATCTCAGAAAACTGTATGACAGAAATTGGCTAACCTAGGTAACAAATGAGTTAGGATGATGAAAGATGGGAAGCGTCAATTATGACACCTAATTTTCTGATAGGTATGAGATGGATTGTATGCCACTGCAACAACATCAATAATAATTAATAGTTATTATAATATATTTGAAAAACTTCCTGTTAACTTAAGGGCTGAGCCATCATTTTTACTGAAACTAAATGCATCTTCCATACATGTATTAGAACAGAAAGCAATTTAATATTGATACTGTAAGAAAATTGCCATAATTCAATTTTGCTAAATGCTAAGCTAATGTTTTTAATATATATGTATATATAAACTTGATTATGAATTCTATCCCTGATCACAGTAAATAAGAGACACTAGACTCACTTTAATGAACAAAATATTCTAATAGGTTAATTACAGGAAACCATGATTAAGAAGTAAATTGTGTTCTGGACAGTTTATGGTCCTCTAACATAAGAGAAACAAATCAGATAAGCCTTATAAATTTGTGTTTATAGAATTTCCAGGTATAGTCTATGGAGAGTGAATTCTGATATTAATCAGTGGGCACCCTTTGCAAATCAGAGAAACCTGAGTACAGAGGGACCAAGTTAGCTACCATCTACAGGGATTAAAATGGTTCAACAGCAAAGGAAGCACTCCAGAGTGAGTTCCCCTACAATATTCAGGTGATTATTTTTACGTTCACAAGGCTTTTATACACACACACACACACACAGATACAAACACACATGGTAGAAGATTTTTAAAAAATTCAATAGATTTTAGCTAAATCTATGAGAATATATGCTGGTCTAAAATCATGAAATAGCATCTGTTTTCTATGGTTTAGATGAAAGAACAACAATTATCATGGTATACATGACAGAGGCATTTTTAGTCATGAAGAATAATTTGTCATAGACAGATTCCATTTCCAGTCTTACCTGATAAATACTAAAAACAAAATCTGGAATTCTGTGCACTCTATACACATCCAGAATACAATATTTAAAATGCCAAGACACTTCCTTTCATCTGATGAGTATGTGTTGTTTGGCATCCCTATTGACCTAATTATCTCTTCCTTTCAACCTCAGCTGGTCTCAGGTGGGAAAGAAGCAAAGCAGCTGAAGCTGACATGCACTCCACACGACACAGATCGGCAAGTACCCCTTGCATGAGAAACCAAGAGTACCCAGCCTAAAGAGTTCTGGTGAGCATTTTTTTCTAGAAAGCTGTTTCCACAAAATGATCATTTTAGAGCTATTATTATCACCATCTGTGTATAAGTAGGTATTCCCTGTGTTACCTCACCCTGAAAAAACAAATAGCAGCTCCCATTTTTTATATGACTAGTGGAAAAGAAGCCTCAAAGAGCGCAGCAACTCTGGCACTCACTTTATGAACCAGTAACATTTGAGGATCTATCTGGAAAATGTCTATAATTCTGACCTCTCTTTCAGGCGTTAACCAAGAAGAGTCTGATATCTCTGTTTCAGTGAAAATTTCTGATTGGAGTAGGGTGAATTGTTACAGGCATGGAAAGTGAGTGCAAAGTAATGGAAATAAAAAATACACAATCATGTGATCAAATCACCTAAAGGAGGTAACAATGAGAATATCCAGAAAGTACAGGAAAATTTGAAACCCTGATAAAAGAGTGGCTACCATCCTCCCCTGCACATGCAAATGGGCACAAGAAATATTACCCCTTTTGACTTGCTATTTTTTTCAAAGCATTCCTGAACACCACTTTCCCTTACCACTGCATTTACTTTTTCTGACAATAACTTTGCTCATTTAAAATACATGTTTGTATTCATACTCACTGAAATGTAATTCCTGTACTGCTCACACACATAGGAGTAGAAGGTAAAGCAAAAACAGGAAAGCACTCTGAGAAAGGTAAAATTACTATCACAATTAGATGTTTATGTGATTGTTGCAAGTGACTAAGACTTGCTTTGGTTCTATGGCAGACACCAGAATGAATACTGTAACAACCTATAATTTGATTATTTTAAATCCAAGCTGCTTTAGGTAGTAGCCATAATACCTCCTTTATTATCAGAGAAGAACAAGATACCAGTCAACTGAAATAAACTCACAAAGCTAAATTCTAAGAATAGGGAAGTTCAGAGGCCTTGGTTAGTTAATCGCTTGGTACTCGTTACCTAGGTGGAACACAATTGACATCTAGCATGTAAGAGCAAAGTAGTTTGGAAAATGTGGACTTCTGTACTTATGCACAAATAAGGACTGCAGACTAGAGCCTGAGAGACTCAGTGTTATTCTAACATATGTGAATAGACACAGACAGACATCTACATATAATAGTTTTTCACCTAGCAATACAATGTAAACATCTTTTCAGTTACTTCCACATCTCACTGTAACTACTTATTTTCCTATTAAGAATTAGACACCTGTCTATTCATGCCTAATACCCACTTTTCAGAGAGGGAAATGAGATAACAGAAACGGTTGACACATGAAATGAAATCCTGCAAGTTTTACTCAAAAAATTATTTTTTCAGTTTAATGACAAAATTATTAAACTCAGGAAATATAACTGCATGAATTAGAGTATTATTATAGCAGCAAATCATTAGCTCAGTATGAACCAATGACTTTTAAATTTGGTGCTTTATATAATAAATAAAAAGATAAACCTTTAAACCTCATAAAAAACAGTCACCTGATAGTATATAATTTGAAACTATTGAAAGAATGATTCTTCTGCCTCATACTCCCTTAGCTTTCCTCCTCAGGATTAAGTGGCTAATATGATGCATATTTCTCCAGTACCTGTTTGCTTGGGACCCAGGGACACGAGTTTGTGCAAGTACACAAGAAATAGAGGTCCTTGATGCGTTTGTATTTCACTTCTATTTTTTTTTTTACAAAAGAAAGCATAAAGCAACATTTACTTAAATTCACTCCATGAAAAAAAATGATCACAAATATTACTCTTCCTTAATGGTGGAATTTTGTCATGGCCTTGACTAAAGTGATCCATTCCCCATATTCTGAAGTATACTAGTAGATTTATTATGGCTCATGTCAGTCTTTTGTCCTTCATGATGGTTTTGTGTGCCCTGGTACAATATGCACTTCCCTTGCATAAGACCTGCACTAAGATGGTGTGCTGAAAAGAGACTTTTTATTGATTAAATATGCTAACCTATGAATTGGTATAGAAGAAAACAGTATATTTTCTTTATTATAAACATTAACATTTGAAATCAGTCCTTCTGTGGTATTCTAAAACCCTACAGAGATTAGCTGATACAATTTTGCAATTTTATGATTTCTATTGTTTTACATGACCTATCTCCCAGAACTTTGAACTTTATGTATCAGAATATGCTTTTTAGTTCAATAGTAATATTTTGCTGAAATCATATAGAAAAAAGAAAACCTCAATGAACATCCAATTCTTAAGATATTTCTGCTCATCAATTCTATCTCTAATCTTTAAAACTATTCAAAAGAATATGAAAGCATAAGGGCCTACTTGATTGGAAGAAAAATAGAGGATGGAAAACAGATATGAAGGAAATAAGAACAAAGTATAATGACATATAAGTTTGAGATTAAAATGCCACAAGGGAATTGTTGTTGGTAGTGGTGGTAATGTTGTAATGTGTGTGTGTGTGTGTGTGTGTTTGTGTGTGTGTGTGTAATAGAAATTATTTTATTTTTTAACAAAATATAATAAGATAAAAAACATCATATTGAAATGGACAAGTCAAACCAAGATAAGGAAAAGAACCCCAAGATAAGTCCCAAAAATCAGAGCCAAGTTTTTCACACATTCAGGAGTCCCATAAAAATACTAAACTGAAAGCTAAGATGTATACAAAGTAGATGTGGTATATACAGACACAGGCCCTGTGCTTCATTCTTCTGTCTCAGTGACTTCATGTAAGCTTCGATCAGTTATTTTAGAGTACAGGTTTCAACTTTGTAAAAAGAAAAATTTCCCATCCATTTCTTCTAAATTTTAGATATTATATGCTGAATAATTTTATTGTTATATAATTTTATACTCACACAATTCAATTGAATCAAATACATATCCATACCCTAACCTCAATTTTTAATTTTTTGCTACAACTTATTTTTATTTTATGTTCATTGCATTTTTCCTGTATATGTGTCTTTGTGAAGGTGTTAGAAACTCTGGAACTGGAGTTACAGACAGTTGCAAGCTGCTATGTGAGTGCTTGGAATTGAACCTGGGTCCTCAGGAAGAGCCACCAGTGCTCTTGATTCCTGAGCCAGCTCTCCAGCCTCTCTGAGCCAGCCCTCTAGTCTCTCCCTCTGTTTTTTCCTTGGGGAATGTCAGGGTCAGTCGACCTGATGTGCAGGTGCATGAACAACAGCAAGAAAGAGAAGGAGAGATCCCAAACTGTCTCTGAGAGCCCAGAGTACTTGGGTGAGGGAGCTAAGAGCCTGTGAGATGGTGCACGGGTGTTCTGGGGAGGGCTCCGAAGTCCAAAACCACTATCTTGGTGCCATTTAATAACCCTGTCTCCACTTCTTTTCCCTCCCAAGTTTGTTGTTTTGTTTTCACTCTTCCTTTACATTTTCTTTTTCTCTTCCCTTCTTTTCTAGATCTACTTAATCTCCATAGTGCTGCCTGTGTGATAATAGGTGCAGAACCATCTGCAGGATCGTGAGTAATGGTTCAGCATACCTGTCCAACAGAAAACTTACTCTACCAACCTGTCAATTGCCAATGGCTTCTCAGCTGAGAGTGAGATGTCATGAACCTGGTCATCCAGTTTCCATCTAGATAGGTCTTTTGCAAACAGTCCCAGCTTCTATGAGTTCCTGTGTGTTGGAGCACTGTCATGCCTGGTAAATACTATTTCATTGCAGACATCCACTAACTGTGGTGTTACAAGCAGTAATTTTCTTCTGAAATGATCCCTGAGCATTGTGAGAAGAATGTGTGACATATATGTCTCATTTGGGGATGGGCATTTCATGCTTTTTTAGTCTCTAAACTTTGACCAGTTGTGATCTGCACTAATCACTACAACCCAGATAGCATTTTGAAAAGGGTTTACTATTAGGTCTCCGTGCTCATACACACTCTTCTGTCATGCCTTCCCATAACTCACTCCCATTCACCCTTTTCATTCCTTTAATTCTCCTTTCTCTTTTACACACCTGCATTCTAGCTCCCTCTATTTGAAATACCATCTCATGACTCCTTAATGGTGTCCTGCCTTCTATGGGTACTCCGATTTATATCAAAATTGGACAGGACAAGAGAAAAATTAAAAGCCTCAAGACCTGGCAGAATCATCAGAGGTCCACTTGTTCACACAGTGAGGAGTCCCCTAAATGGACTAAACTGAAATATTTAGTATATGGAGGGAACCTGGTGAAGGCCTGTGAAGGCCCGATAATTGTTGTTTCAGTTTCAATGAGTTCCTGTGAGGCTTGCTCAATTGTTTTATAGGATCTTGTTCTTCTGTTACCCTCCATCCTGTATGTCTTCCCTACTCTTTCTGCCTCCTTTTCCATAGGGTTCCCTAAACTGTAGTGGTAGGGGATTTGATGGAAGCATTTCTGTAACATGAATAATAAAATCCTAGATATGTATATTGGGGTTCAAACCAAAGATTAGGGAAGCAAAGCAGCCAACCAGTGGCTCTTACCGCTACCAAGGCTGAAATTAGATATCCTGTCTTCCCTGTGTCTGGAAGCTAATCTCTTCCTGTCCTCAACATGGCTGGAAACTAATTGCCATATGAGACCCTTTGCTTTTTCTTATGCATCTCTTGAGTCCTGGGATTAAAGGTGTGTACCACCACTGCCGAGTTTCTACAACTCTCTTTCAAATTCATATGCTCACTTTCTATCAATTTTCCTCTCATGAATGTATGTATTCATATATATAACGTATGCATATGTCTCTATGCATATGTATATATGCTCTGCATGTTTTCAAGGCTGAGTATTTGGTATTGGAAAATGCACTGGTATGCTCTTTTCTGAAGAAAAATGATTTCCTCCACTCTCAACATTACTCAGTCATGTTATTTCTTTGTGTATGGCTGAAACTTCTTGAGATTTCCTCAATCCTCACTAGTATGTCTGTTGTTGTCTTTGTCCAACTCACATTAAGGCAGTCATGCTGATGAGACTGTATGGGTGCAGCTTCTGACATTACTAGGAGACACAATTTCAGCAAACTACCCAATCATTTGGCTCTTACAGACTTTTCCACCACTTCTTTCAGTGTTTCCGGAGGCTTCAATTAAGGAGTATTGTTCATGGATCCTATGAATGTGTTTTGTTTTTTTGTAATAATATTTATTTATTCCATTGAGAAGTTTCCCTAATTAAGGTTATGAATAAACATGATGTATTCATGTATGTAAATATTTCCTGTTCCCATATTAATATGTACAATTTCTGTACCAATTATAAGATATAGACCTGAAAGTAAATTGAAATAAATCAACTGAGAGTCATAATGCATTCTCTAGATAAAAGGTTTGGAGTAAGAACAATGAGACTGACAGTGATAAAAATTTCATATTTATGGGACACACTGGGGTTTTAGCACAACTGTGAGGGACTGAGGACTCTCTACTTTTGGGGGGAGCTGGATAAACCAAGGAGTGGAAATTAACTTATTGAAACCTGCTGCAACTATAGTTTTCTGTTGTAGGAACTGGGTAGGCAGAGATGAACAGTCTGAGCAGTTGCATCATTGGGTGGACTCGAAATTTTCCATTCTGAAAGGTATTATATCTCTCCAATGCATTTCCTCTGTTTAAGACAGTCAATGTTCTCAAAGGCTCACCTGCCTTCATCCTCACATCTATACATTCTTCCAATACTGCATTGGAAGTTTTCAATGTTATCAGAGTTCTTGATATTTCCTTATTTCAAAAATGCTAATATATGCCCATTATTGCATATTTCAGGCAGTTTTAATACATACCTGAAAGTGCCTGTGAAGAACAAAATGAAAAGATATTGGACTGCAGCATGAATTCACTCAGGAAGGAAGGAAGGAGGGAGGGAAGATGGAGAGAGGGAGAAAGGAAGGAAGCAGGGAGGGAGGGAAGGATGGAGGGAGAGAGGAAAGGGAAAATAAATGAAAAGGAAAGGAAAGGAAGGGAAAGGCAAAAGTGATTGTTCAAATATCTCAGAGGAGAAATTATTGAAAATTGGGTGGGGGTTAAGTCCACCTTATATTCTCCTTGAATAAACAAAAAATTCCCCCTTAAACGGAAAACAAAGTCCTTTTCTTGCGTTCTTGATTTCACACAGAATTACCTGAAAAATTTTACAGACGCAACTAATCTCTACGGGCATTAGAGATTTCTAAAGTAGGTCACATTGAAATAATTCTTTATTAATGTCCTTCTGCTTCTTCCAAAGACCACTATGATAAAACTAATGTAAGATTCACAGGTAGCTCAATGCCAGCTTTTCATAAAAGGTCATTCTTTTAAACTATTCTCTGTACTTGGTCATATGAGCAAACTGCCTAAGCTTTGAGGATGAGGCAGGATGGCTGTTCCAACACCGACTTTTGACTAGTGTTGCTTATTGCCTGCAAGTTCATGTAATTTCATCAGTAGAATTACACAGCCAGAATAAGGAGAAAAGCAGATGCCATAATCATTTATTTAAAAAAATCAGCTACCTTCTCATATATATGTAATAGATATGACTATTTGGGGGGAGATTTACATTTTAAATGATTAAGGACCCAGTTAGACAGCATGAAACCTCATTAACAAAGTTATATCTTTGTGCTTCTACCTGAAGGGAATGTGGCAATTTTTCCGAACCTCATATCCCTCCATTTAAATACCTGCTAATTTGTTTTATCTCTGTGTATTTCAAAGTATTTCACCCACACCGCATTAAGTCACCTTTTAAATATGAAAGCCAACAGAATACAAAACCAAGCATTTAACTATATCGTAAGATGGATTACTCAGAAACTATTTTTTCTTTTATGAAAATTCTGCTGTCTGTGAATTTATGTGATATGTAAGTGGTTAACCAATGATTTGTGTTGATTATAAGGATTGTGAAGGAATAAACCAGTAAAAATTTTATTTTGTTTTTTGTTTTGCAATTCATTATAAGAGCTATCTATTAGGATCGTTTGTAAACTGATGGGTTTTGTTCAGTTTCTTCTCTGAAGTAAGACCCTGAGAGCAATGAGATGATATAGATCATAACTCCTCACTGTACATTTTCCAAAGGCATGATAATAATTAAGACTTAATCGGAGTGTTCTCCAGCTGCTTTCCCCATCACTGTACAGGTAATCAGAGCAATATAGATTAAATAGCAAATTGCAACAAAGTAAGGCAACACCATCATAAAAAGCAATATTGATGTATGAGAGAATTAGGTAAACGTAGTCAATGAAGCATGACGTCTCATTCACATTAACCTCCAGCAAGGCCCTCACAGTCCCAGGCATTGATCCAATCATTTGCTTGCCTAAATGGTTTCCACCTTCTAGACAGCTGCTTCCCTCTCTTCTGAAATACCCCATGACATATACAGAATTGCATCATTTTTAACTCCTTTATTAGACAATATCAAGAGAAGTGAATCACTGCTGTAAGAATAATATAGCTTTGAAAGCTTTATATTTATATATAAAAATATCATTGAAGCAGTTAAAATTAAATGCACAAGAATAGCATCTGGAGACTTTAGACACTTTCATTTCTCCCCTTTACCCCTGGATGGTATAAATATAAGAATATCAAACAGACTTGCCAGGATAGTAGGATACTCAAAGCACATAAATATCTTTCTAGGTGCTAGCTAGATAAGAGTAGAATGATGGTCTGTTGTACATGCAAGTCTGCACCTACACTCAGAAGCCATAATATGCTATATGTCTGTGATATTCTTCTTATCAGTACAGAATATATTCTGAACAACCTTTTAAATAGTGCTTCTATGACAGCACACAGATATTTTATGATATTAGTCTGAATGAAAATGGCCTCCTCCAATGACTCATAGGGGATGCTGCCATTTGAGTTGTGACCTTATCAGAGCAAGTGTAGCCCTGATAGAGTAAGCGTGTCACTGGTGGGTGAGCTTTGAGGTTTCAGAAGCTCAAGCCTGGCCTCATGGCTCACTGTCTCTTCATGCTGCCAGCTGACCAGTTTTAGAATTCTTCAGTACTGTGTCTGCCTGCATGCCTTGATGTTTCCCACCATGACAATAATGAACAAAGTCTCTGAAGTGTAAGCCAACCCTAATTAAATATTTTCCTTTGTAAGAGTTGCTGCGGTCAGGGTATCTCTTTACAATGAAATCCTAACTAAGACAAGCACCTATAGATTTCTTTATTTATATTATTTTGTTATTAAAGTAAGAGACAACATAACCGACTTTGTTTTCATTATGTTATAAATGCTTGATACCACTAAATACTTATATTAAATCAAGATCAGTTTTTTTAGAGTTAATAGGCTATATGTAACTCCCACTCTAGTCAAAATTTCTATCTGAATTAAATATTTTGTCTTTTTTTGTCTTTCTCCATATCCCATCCTCAGCCCTATCTGTAGCACCAGACAAATAAAAACAGGCAAGCTAAGCTTTTAATTTGCTCTGATGATCTTCTGGAGTTCCATCCTTGGATCCCTTCCCAGAGCTATCTGATTCCTCCAGAACTTCAAATGTTCATGTTGCCTAGATTTCAAGAGTGGATTATTCATAGAGTCTTTAACAGTATTAATGAAGAGGTAATATGATTCTTGTTCCTTGGAAGATACAATTTAGATTCCTTTGCTAAATTAAAGATAAAAATGTCTACCAAAATTAATAAGAAGTGACAAAAATTGGATAAGTTGTTTTAGGGCTCCATTGCCATAGTTAGATAAATGTGTTTTTCATAAAAAACAATGCTTACATATTTATATGTTTATTTATTTACTTGTTTATTCATCTCTTCTCCTTTTCCCTCATTAAAATTTTATAGGGGATTCAGTAAGACATAGAACTCATTTGGTGCAGAAAAATATTAATAGCTTGAGAATGCAAAGCAAGGCAAGAAATCAATTGTAGGTAAACAGCATGGAATTAAACCTCTTGACCTTGTCAGATACTTTATGGGGGATCCCTTCAATCAGAAATGTGCTGATGATACTAAATTGTCAAGGGATTTGATCTACCTTCTAATAATTGAATGCTCCAAAGTTTGGAAGAGAATCAGGTTTTTGAACAGCTGCTAATTTTTCAGAGTGGAAATTTAGTACCTAAAGAGATTGCACATTTATTTAATAAGACTTATATTTATATTTTATGGCCTGTCACTTTTGACAATATGCTTTGACTGTAAATAGCCACATTGTCTTTTGAGAAACACTATTTTGTGAAGTTATTGTAATTCTTAAGTACACACTATACACATTATTATCTTTAATTTGTTAAAATGTAATTTTTAAACAATAGTGTACATGTCATTAACAATAGCAGTTTCCTCTCTTGTATCCTAAAATATATTAACTTTGAATTAATCAGATATTACTGCATAGGGACCTGATATAAACATAATAATGAACTTGCTACTTAAGTGTTTAATTTTACAAGTGCTAAATACTCCTTACTTTTATCTTTATTTAGTGTAACACTTATATAAAAAGTCTATACACCTAAAAAAATATAACTTCACGTGTTGTGTTCCAGAAATAAATGTTTAGAGTGACTGTTATATCATCACATTTGAAAAAATTATATGGAAATAACA